AGTCTGTGCTTCAGAGTACAGAATCATGAGAGATTTAATAAAAAGCTCATTACCAGATAATTTCAACAGGGTTAAATGTAAAACCATTTTCTCAACCAAATTCTCAGGGACAGCTAAATGATCCTGGCCGAAATTCAGCTCACAAAAAAATCAACTGATCAATATATCTCAAGTCATGCAGCAGTACACACACTGGTGAGGGATATTTTAGCAGAAGTTGTTACAGTCTAGCAAAACACAGCTGGAAATAGAATATAACAGAATATTGCAAAACGGCTGAGCAACCTCATCTACAGGGAATGATATTTGCCTCCACTTATAAAATTGCAGTTCTTGTGAAGTTAAAGGCATTGGGAGAGGCTGAAACAAACAGATCCTTTTGTACAACTTGATACAATAAATCCTAGTACAGAGCCAGAACTAGAGCAATGCAGACATGATTCTGCAGGGACATCAAGTCATTTATTTCTTTGCTCTGCCCCAAGAGAGCCCAGAGCTTCAGACATGTACATCCACTCATACTTGGATACCCGAGGTGTGGTGGTCATTGAGTAACATGCATGATGGCCTCATTCCTAAACATTTGTTTACAAGTGGGGTATAGCAAGAGGAAGAAGGGATAGCAAGGCATTTCAACAAACCTCCTCTTCCAAGCAAGCATCTCACCCTGCTCAGCATTCCAGTTTTCAAGCTCCCCATCCCATTCCCTCTCTGTTCACTTATCTCTTACCCATTCCTCCCACATTCTCCCCATACCCACACCCCACACACACATTTCCCCACAAAGCACTTGTTCTCAGGTCCACATGCAGGTCGGACACTTCTGATGACACTGATGCCAGCAACACACCAACATGATGCAACAAACCCAGTGATGTTCTCTGCCAGCAGCTCTCAACCAGGGGCACACACGTCAAGGGGAAAAAAGGGAAAGGAAGAGGCAAAAGGGAAGAGGAGAGACTAAAGAACATGTAGGCCAACTCCTGCAGCTCTTCAGTTTGACTGGATATGCCTACAGTGTCCTTCCTCAGAGGTTCCCAAAAATCACTTCAGTACAGTGGGTTGTGTGAAGGATTCTGCAAAATTTACAAGGTTGTGCTACAGATTAAAAATATTAACAGTTGGAGGGCAAAGGTAAGGAAGTCCTGATCTAAATGGCAATCACCAGGAAACAGCAGAAAATGATAGAAAATGTCCTCTGATGCTAGAGCTGGGGAAAAAAATACATTACCTTCCCTAGAGTTGAAAGCACTTCAGAGAAGATGGGAGACACACTGATCTATACCTAGACTGTGAAGATTTCTCAAATGCCCAGATTACACTGGGATTATTGGGACTACTGGCTATCAAGTGGCCTACCAAGACAAGGGTAGACTTTTCTTTCTAGGGACTTGAGAAGGCCATTTCTCACTGTAAGAAAGTAGATCAGGCTTATTTTCTAAAAGCCATGAAACACCTTTGTAGTGCCTTACTTCCAGTGTCTGGCAACAACTTAATTTGGAGATGTTTTGGTAAAACGCTCCCACATGTGTTGGCCCTTATAGGATGAGGGGAAGAAACTGGACTGTGAGGGCCCCACACTAAAGTTTTCATTAAGGCACTACTATTTACAGCTTGTTTGATGTGTTGGCCGATCCCCCTAGGAAAATGCCAGTGCTAATTTTGGCTGAGCCTTTTTCAGCCCCCTGAGCAGCACCTTCATTCCTGCACTTGTTGCTTTGCACAAATTTAGCTAGTGCCACCAGTGTCAAGTGAGCTGGTCACCAAGATCATCTGTCCTACACATGTCCTCAGGGAGCACACACTGCCCACTCAAAGCAAATTCCTGTCTCCAACTGCTTGCTCTAGGAAACATAGGAAAAAGGAAGTGTGGGGTCTCTCCCCACTGACCAAACACAAGTACCACAGTAAAAGGAAGCCAAAACAAGGTCGTTGCTCTGCCTTTTTCCTTCCCATGAGAAATTGGTAATTGATGACAAATCCAGGAATATCAGGTGAAGAAGGGAAAGGGTGTCAACTTTCTTCCACAAATAGGGTCTAATGCAGTTACTGAGGCTGAAGGGAAAGTCAAAATCTCCCAGACTCTTAGTGCTACTAAGCTCTCAGGCCCTTCATGGGGCTGCCTCATTCTGGAAGAGCAGAGTAACATCTGCAGATGGGGTTCCTGTGTACTTGTAACAATCCTAGATGAGAAGATGAAACCTACTTTCCAATATGGTAAAAACAGACCAGTCAACTCCTGCCAAGTTCTCGTGTTAAAAAGAAAAAAAAGTTGGCATCTTGGCTAAGACTCACACAGAACCTTTTAGCCAAAAGTAATTAATTTTTTACCACCAAAGCATGCTGGAGAATTATTTTTTAAAAAAGAGTGGGTAAGAAAAAGAAGGAAAAAGACACCTCCATAACTAAACATATGGTGGCACAAATATGTTCTTGCTGCAGATCAAAGACTGACCAAGACCCCAACCTTCCTTCCCTACA